TAAACCCTAAGCCCTAAACCCTTGGGCACAAGAAAGACTGCACTGACACCCAACAGCGAAAGTCGATCGAAAGCCTTGAAATCGCAGGCTTGTAGCCCTCAGCCGCGCAACTGCATCTCAAAACAAACAGAAAATAGGGTTTAGGGTTTAGGTTTCCTTTTGCTACTGGTCATGGTAGGGGACAGTGACGGTGGTGGTAACTATGAGGATTTGGATGCTGGTCATTGTCAAGCCAACATTTAAACACACGTGTTGTGAGGGTCTACGAATCATTCTATGTTGGTAATGCTGATGTCATTGTTGGTGATGCTGATCAAGACGACGGTGACGACTCTGCACGTACAGGTAATCTTTCTGTTGCTGCTCCATAAAACCCCTAAACCTAAACCCTAAAATCCCTAAACCCCGAACCCTAAAAACCGTAAACCCTAAAAACCCTAAAAACCCTAAACTCCAAAACGGTATCATGACAGCTCAGACCAGTGTCCATGCTGTTGCAAACAGAGGCGCCTCCACAACTCGAAGAGGGTCTGGGGGTATCCAACCGTCATGACAATAACAATAACGGGGTCTCCGAAAATAGGAGACTCTAAAATAGTACCCTAAGTAGTAGGATCCTTATTATAAGGACCCCAAAATAAGGTACCCTGGATTCTCGGATACCATAAAAATGATAATAATGATAAGACTACCAAGAACAACATCAACGATAATGACAGTATTAGTGCTAAAATACGACATTTCTACTTCTTCAGGCTCCCATATTGGTCTAGTTCAGGGTTCGGTGGGAGGCTCAGCGGCGCAACTCTGAAGATCGAAGCTGAACGCGCAAATCCCTGAAGACGGTCCCGTTCGGGATGTAGCCATCCAGGAGGCTTCCTGGGAACTTGGGCTTCAGTTACGCCACGGTTTTTGCGGAAAAACATAGGCCTTGACACGCCAGGCCCACTTTCCTAAGCGACCCTAGACGATGCCTTGCTTCGTAGCACCGGGGCAGTTTGATCTTCGAGGAGCAGCAGGGGTAGTGGTGAAGAGTGGCGGTTTGTTGTTGCAGTGTTGGTGGTAGTTGCGGGCAGAAGTGTAGTGGCAGCGGTGCTATTAGTGTTGTGGTGATAGTGAAGGCCAAACACAAACTGCTGTCTAGTTGCTTAGCCCATGTGACACCCTTGAAACCCGTCGGTAGTCGTGAGCACCACACCGAAACTTCATCCCAGTCCAAATAAATTAGGAGTTTGAATAGTTGGTAACAGCAGTCTTTTATAGCCCCATGTGTAATAAACACACATGATCACGATGTCCCCAAAAAAAACCTTTTTCACACTATTCACTACAAACTAAATAGCCGATCTCGATCTCAACAGCGCCGAGAGGCCATGGAGGTTGCTCGTCTTCGTGAGGTCAGGGGGGCCAAGGCGGATGATGTTGGGCCGCGACATGACCTACGAACTACGCGACTCCAAGCCTTCAGCTCTATAGGCTCATGGCTTGGGGTTTAGGGTTTAGGGTTTAGGGTTTAGGGTTTAGGGTTTAGGGTTTAGGGTTTAGGGTTTAAGCTTAGGGTGCTTCCGTCTTTCGGAGAGTCATCGGTGAGGAAGATGTGCAAGAGCTTGTTACACAGCTTCTAGGACCCCAGAGGGGCTAGTGTGGTATTCGCATGTTGATGCTGTATAAGAAGGACGCTAAAAGGGACCCTAACTTAGAGAACTACCCGTCCCTACACCCTAAACCCTAAACCCAAAGCCCTAAAACCGAAACCCAAAGCCCTAAACCCTAAACCCAAAGCGCAAAGCCCTAAACCTTAAACCCTAAACCCAAACCCCTAAACCCTAAACCTTAAACCTAAAGCCGCAAACCCTAAACCCTAAACTCTAAGCCCTAAACCCTAAACCCTAAACCCTAAGCACTAAACCCTAAACCTCTTCCGCGACGCGGAGACTCCCCGGAAACAGCAGCAATCCCAGGAGCCCGCTGACTCTGAAGGCCCGAAGACTCAATTTTTTCGGGAAGCTGGATTTCCAATCTTGCATTTTGGGTTTGGGGCTTAGGGTTTAGGGCTTTGGGTTTAGGGTTTAGGGTTTAGGATTTAGGGTTTAGGGTTTAGGGTTATAGCATTTTAGATAGCATCATAGTATACATGTGTATATACATATACATATACATATATATATGTACATTTTTCCTATAGTATGGTATATATAGTAGCACATTTTTTCATGTCATGTCGTATTATGATATAGTAGAAGTCTCCCACAAGCACTGGAGTATACGGACGTGATTACGGACATACATCCAGGAAACATCGCACTAAATGCTAAACCCAAAAAACCATCAAACCTCACATCCCGGGCAGCGTACCCAGGTGTCGGTTCCGTAAAGCCACAGGGGTTCCACCACGATCTGCCCCACCTCGAAGCTGGGGTTTAGGGTTTAGGGTTTAGGGTTTACTAGCTCATGGTTGGGATAGTATTAAAGTTAAAAGAGTTATTCCTTATTGGGTTTAAGTACCAATAAAGATGTAAAGTGCTACCCAACTATGATATAAGCTTAGGGTTGCGTGTATCTGCCTAGTAACTTCAAAAGGGTTTGGGGTCTTGGGGGGTATATTGAAACATGATGGTCTAGGGGGGTATATATTGAAACATCGTTGGATAGGCACCAGGAAGGGAATACTACGTACTTCTCATTCTTCAAGCCCCTTTTGTAAGGAATTTTGGACGGTGGGGCTGAACAGTCCTCCAGCCACCCCTCTACCCCTAAGCCCTAAGCCCTAAACCCTTCTACCCCTAAACCCTTCTAGCCCTAAACCCTGCAGCCTTGCCCCAAAGCCGAAGTCAAAAAGTCGCATTAAGCCAGCCGAGACGGAGAGCAAGAAGCCCAAAGCCTAAATCACAACCCTAAACCGATCAAGCCATCGTCGAGACCAAAAGCCATAAATGGGTGGTTGTCAAAATTAGGGTCCCTTTTGGGGTACCCTAAATAATAGGTGCCGTATTATAATAAGGACCCAACAAGGGACCATAATTTTGACAACCACCCACATCCTAAACCTGAACCCTCAACCGAAACAACGCAGTAATAGACCTCCGCCTCCGAAACGAGCCTTCTGGGCCATCCGACGCCAAAACCCTCTCAAAGCGGCCAGAAGCTTCCTCTCCAGAAAACAAGCCCAGTCTAGGAATTAGGAACCATCTCCTCTTTTCGCCTCCCTATAACACTTCTCTGCTATGCCCCTAAACCCTAAACCCAAATGTAGGGGCCTTGATAATGAGAATAGGGTTTTTGGGGCCCATTATGCTATAGTTATAATAAGGAACCCCCAAAATAGTGTGGGTAATTATTCAGGCCCCTATCTTAATTTCCAAGTTCCACTATTAGCCTAAACCCTAAACCCTAAACCCTAAACCCTAAACCCCTAAACCCTAAACCCTAATCACCAACTTATCCCTTTTTTTACAACCCCAAAGCCCTCAGCCTTGCAGAAACCATGGCCTTCCAAAAGAGCCGCGTCGTCTCCTGCAACGCGTCATCCTCATAGGGCAGGAACCTTCGGAAAAGCACAGGCAAGCGTCGCGGCTTCGTTGGGCTTAGGGTTTGGGGTTTGGGGTTTAGGGTTTAGGGTTTAGGGTTTAGGGTCCCGGCTCGTAACAAATGCTTATTATGGGTAGTTCCGACCCAGGAGCGTTAAGGCTCTGAGAGTCATGTTCATGACTGCCGGCGAAGCTTCAAGGGTTTAGGGTTTAGGGTTTAGGGTTTAGGGTTTAGGGTGGTTTTTGGGTTTGGAACAGGCACGTGGGTCCTCGCGGTCACAGGTTTGGGGCTTAGAGATCGGAAACCCTAAACCCTAAAC